TGTGTGTGTGTGTGTGTGTGTGTGTGTGTTCAAAGATAAGAAAAGTGGATTTCGAGGCTGCACACGCACACAGCAGAAAGCCTGTGAGCCTTTCGGAGAATCTGGATCTCATTTATCATTCGACCTATGAAATATTTTGCTGATGTGGTAACATTTTTATAGCCACTTGTCCATGTTTGTTCAGGGTTCACACAAGTCCAGCTCTTGATCTGTTTGAGTACGGAAACAATCATGTGTGTAAAACGGTCTTTAGTGTGTGATTCATGCAATTTTGTCATTGTTTTTAAGTGGTAATGGGAAGTGTAATGAGCAAGTCTAATGCAAGAATGAGGCGTCTAAACACTGTTTGGACGGGCGAGAATGTTAACAGTTGTTTGAATGGCTTCATTGATGTGCAGAACTGTGACAGAAGTCTTGAGCCAGCTCACATTTTTTTATAATTTGCTTCTAAGGAGTCAGACTTTGGGTTTTTGAAGGTCTTTGAAAGTGATTCCTAAAGAGCTATTAGCTTAAAAACTTGGCGCAGTGTGCAGCATGTCCTTAAAAAAATAGAGGAAACTGGACGATGCACGAAGACTTCTAAAGCACAGTGGAGGCTCTGTCATGGTTTTTGGCTGCACCTCAGTCAGTGGTGTTGGGCATCTTTTCAAATTGATGGAATACAGATGCACCGTGCAATTCCATCGGGAAAGCATCTGTTTGGAAACGGCTTTTCAGTATGACTCTGCCAGTAGTGAAACACTCGGTGTCCCATTGTGTGTTTTTCTATCAGTCATAGATTGGCCTCCCATGAGCTCAGCAGTTTAATTTCATGTTGACAAGAACAGAAGAAAGTTTTGAATGTCCTTCGAACAGCCTGCAGAACTATCCTGTTCTTGAAGAACACTTAAGGAAATGAAAAGAAAGCTGCCTAAGAGAGTTCAGACTGTTGAAGAATGAAGATGGTCATAACAAATATTTTCTCAGAGTATAAAGAAATGAGAGGTATCTCTAGACTTGTGCACAATACTGCATTTTGAGAGGTATTTCAAATATTTACAAAGCCAGAATGCTCAGACAAAAGCGTCTACGGTAATGTTCAAACACAAACGGCACAAAGCGCCTCACTGATCCTCGCTTCGCGTACTACACAAAGGGTGCGTTTGTCATCGGGCAAAATAATTTTGTGCACTTGAATTCTCATAAATCAGACTGAGTAACACTGTTGATCTTTAGTTACACTATTGCACTGATGAAGTCTGTCCTCAGACATCCAGACGGGACTGTGTAAACACAGAGTTCTCCACAGAGCACTTCTGTGGGTCAGTGGGTGTCACAGGACTTGTTTTGTTTTTTTTACTTTTTTGCCATAGTGACACGCATACTACGTATAATTAAGATTAGTTTACAGGGGGAATTCCTCCTCCCAGCACACAGACCTCATATCTGCAACTGTTTATCTCTTGGCTTGGCTTTCAAGCAGCACAAACCAAATGTTTGTGCTGCTTTCGTCAGCCGGCAGTTTGGGTTTTTCTAAACCTTTTAGGTTTTACTCTTAAAAACATCCCACAGAGCTCCATTAAAGAGAGAAAATTAGAGATTCCAAAAGTTAAATTTTACAAAGTGTGAAATTTACACAGGCGGTGTTACAGGGAGGAGCTACGTTCTCTCCACCTTCACTGTTATCAGATTGTCGTCTGATAAAAGTTTTGGCTGAAGTTTCCCTTTTCCTTCACTTCAGCACGTTCTGGTTGCAGTGAATTCTCCCCAGTTTTCCCAGTGAGCAGTGTTTTCCCACTCACGCCTTAAAGACATTCAGACAAGTTTAGCTGAAGCATGTGACTTTTTCTCTTCTTGGCTTTGTTTTTATGCTTTTTTTTCTTTGTCTTAACTTCAGCATTTTTTCTGTTGCTGGAAGCGTCTTACATTGACAGATATAACCTCTTTAACTAGTCATGAGTGTTATGGTGACCCGCAATAAGATATTTTAATAATATAAGAAATTTACATATATATTAATGAATTGCTTTTATAATATTTAAACCCTCTTATCTTGAGACACCACTGACTATTTAAAAATATATATTTTTCTGGTTTGTGGTAAACACAAACCAGAAAGATTATTTTTCAGGTCATTAAAAGTAGAATTACATGTGTTACAGGTGGACAGACTCTGTGCCCTGTAAGCTTCAACCTTTTGCATTGCACTATCTGACAGGCGGCACCTCCGGGGCAAGGAAGGTTGCAACAGCAGACTGACAGCGAGCGCTGGCATGAGCACACTGGAATAAGTTCTGCACTGATGTCTTGGCTTAGAGGTACCAGGGCATCCACGAATCTGCACAAAATCCCGGCACGATGCGGGCGGTTGCTGTGTTTGTAAGTGCTTTTGTATATGGATTGGTGGTGGGCTGTGCAAACTGGTGATGGGCTAAATCAGTACAAACGTTCTTTCTGTGATTTCTCTGTGAAATGAAATGTAAAATAAAATATCCCTAAAAGCAGAGATGTGAGCTCTTAAATGAAGGTAGCTGTTAGTCTCTTAGTGAATTAACCTCTCTTCATAGCTCGGATCCAGTGATGTTGCTAGAATCGTACAGTATGGTTGTGCTCGCTCTGTTTGTTAAAATGAAACCTCGTCAGATTAGTGGAAAGGAGTGCCTGTTGATGTCAGCTCTGTGTTATATGTCTTGTCCTGTTGCAGCACCTTCTTCTCAGACAATGAAAGCCACAGCAGCAGGATGTGAAATCCTCACACTCACTCCTCATCCACACACACTGAAAAGCTCAGATAATGGTGCAAAACCATTTTTCTTGTTTTCACTAATACTGCCTGAAGCTCTGGCTTCAGTGCTCCAAACACTTCAGACAGCTTTTGTTTTTCTCTAATGTTTGGGCTTGGTCTGCACACCCCACCCACCGACCTGCCCTTTAAATCTTTTGTCTGCGAAGAGCAGCCGGGCTTGCAAAGCGGCCTAAAAGGAAGGTAAAATGGCTCGTGTCAGACGGTGGATAAAAGTAAGAGGAGTAACAGCATGACGTTTATATAGTCTTCATTTCAATTTCTTTTATTTGCAAGTTGAAGCTATGCAAAGGTTGTCATTGTAGGCAAAACTGAAGTCTAGACTCGTGCTGGGACACAAGGTCAACAAGTGCTGGTGCAGAAAAGATTCAAGAGATGCCTTCTTGCCCCTAAAGTCTTTAGTCGTTATTGGGATGCTAATTGAATCAGTTCCAAGAGGCCAGAGTGTCTCGGCAAAAAAACACAAAACAAAAAAACCCGAGACACACCTTATCCACACACACTGTTAACTTTAATGTTTGCTTCCTGCCTGCACCACAGTCCTCTTGAGTCTTGACTCTGCTGATGCCACCCAGGACGATTAGTGTGCGTTAAGCTGACTCTTTATCTGGTCATCTGCGAATCTTCAAGTGGAATCTGTGCTCATGTGAAACCAAAGTGCTCAAAAAAGGAGGAAAGAAATCATGTTTACTTCCCTCTCTGTAACTGCTTCTTTCAATTTCTGTGTGTGTGTGTGTGTGTGTGTGTGTGTTTGGTGGGGGGGCTTTCAGTCCTCACTTCCTCCTTTCTTGTATTTCGTTTCATGTCAAGTTGTGTGGGAAACGGAGACGAGCGGAACGGGGAGAGGGAGTGAATGTGAAGGGGAATTAGAGATGATAAATAAAGTCGGGAATTGAAAGGGTTTGGAGGGAGGACGTGGAGCGGCGGCGCTTCAGTAATAAACCAAGCAGCACCAGCTTTGACCTCATCATATGCCTGCTTTACCTTTGACCTCTTCCCCCTTTCTCCACCCGTAGGCCCAATTCACTGAGATCTCTTGTGCTGTCATCTAAAATGGGAAAAGACAGTAGTTGCGTATTTCTCAGAGTTTCTGCAGTATCGGGGCTCGTTAACGGCGCGATGTGCCGGAGGATGCTTTCTCACAGCATTCCCCCAAAACAGCACCGACGTCTTATTTGAGGATCGCTTTTATCTTCTTGTTGTTGGGCTGGAAGTTGCTCGTTACAGTCTCATGTGACCTTTTAGTTAGCAGCGTATTTCATTAACCTGGTGTCGCTGCGATTAAGTTTGAGGAGAATTGTGTTCATTAGCATGCAAATTGAAAAGGTGCAGCGCTTGTTATCTGTTATTTACTATTAAATTATGAATTTTTTTTAACTTTTGCGGCTCTGCATTCAGTTACTTGAATTAAATAATCCTTTTTTGTGTTCTGTCATGTACACTTAAACTGATATGTGGCAGGTGGAAAGGCTGTTTGCCTGTAAATGTGCTCTGTTTGTACCTGGTATTAACCCGCGATCCGTACATGCTTATCTGAACTCTAATATCCAATTCGTCAGTGTAAACGCTAACATGCCAAACTTCCCCCTCTGATGGGACATTTCAAGATTTTGACTTTCTCAGTATTTTTGTGGATGGGGCTGAATGGGAGGCTCTGTAGTGTCATGTTTTTCCCTTCATATGAGCCTCTGTGCAAGCTGGAGATCAGATTGTGTCATGTGACCGCGGCAGGGAGATAACTTGTTGCAATAATTTTGTGCTTCTTGTTGTGAAACAGTGGTGCAGACTGCAATTGAGCTCTATTGTTGTTTGAGCCCTTTGCAAACCTCACAATGACGAGCTCTTTGTTTGTGTCGCTTGCTTTATTTCATATTTAATGATTATTCCAGTCATTTATAATCTCACCCACTTAAGATCGAAGTGGGCTGTGTGCGGCCTGCGGTGTCACACCCAGAGGTTTAAGAAACCTTCTAGAAATGCAGAAGCTCTGTTTGTGCCGTAGACGGCGACAACATAAACCTGCTCTGCAACAGGTTAGAGCTGCAGCATGGGTTACCATGGCGATGCACCCTGGTAACAAACTCGGGTTAATGCAGAAGTTACCTGGATATTTTTTTATTTTTTTTAATTTAATGCTAAGCTGCTTGCAAACACCTTGGAAACTTTGTGTTTCAAAAAGCTGCTAACTTTAACCTGACTGTTGGAAAAAAGTTCTCCAATCATTGTCCTCCTCATTTGAGTAAAACAAATCCACATCCCACGACATCACATCCTCTCGTCCGCCCAGCTGGACCTCACTTCTTCCTGCTCCTCTTCACATTCGTTTCACATCCAGTGGAAGAGCTGTGCTGAGCAAGCTTCAAGTTCATTTCATGCACTGCTGGGAAATGTCTTTCTTTTCCTTCCTCAGTACTTTATCCCTTATTCATCTGAGCTTAACATTTTCTGGCCAACACTATTTTTTAAAGACGGGCTTAAATGTAAGAATAAATTTTGCCGTGTAAGCACGGCCGTCACCGTTACTCGACTGAGAAATCCTGCTTCAGAGCTGCTTTTTTGGCTCAAACATGGAAATCTGGGTGACATGCTCAATATCAAGTGGACGTGGACATAAAGGAGTGTGTTTGAACTTGAAAGCAACTTTTCTGTTATGCTTTGTAGCTTTGGACGTCATAATCATCCATTAGTAGGGACACTTTCTTATTTTTGTTCTCATCTCATCCATATTAAGAAAATCGTCCATTAGCAGCTACGTCAGGATTATTAATGATGCACACTGGATGCCTGGTTGTTTGTGTGTGTTAATTAAAAAAGAAGAAAAAAGCTACAGGATTGAAATTAATTCACGTTAACTCTGCACGATTATCAGCATGAATTATCCACAGTTCACTGGACTGAGTGAGGCCAAAGCGCTGCCGTGAAGAAGCCTGTTGGGGTTTGTTTTTTTTTTAATTTGAGCTCCACTTTGGTCTTTGTTGACATTTATGGCTCTTTAGCTGCTAAATAAGCAGTTTTTATTTCCGCTATTTTCTGTTCTGTTTGAAAAGTGTTTTTTTTTTCTCTCCCATATTTTACTCTTTGGAAACACATCTCGTCAAATCATGCACAATCCTTTTAAGCGAACCTCAATGTACAAAGACCACGGATCCCCAAGATTGTTTGTTTTGTTTTTTTTCTATATCTTTATACTACAAGCATTCAGCTAAGGGAAGAAAGGGCTCTAAGATGACTCCACAAAGTGAACATTGGCAAGTGTGTGTAATATTAGAGGGAGAAAAGGCAGGTTTGTGGCTCTGTTTTTATCTTGAAAGCTTGTTGCTTCTCATGACTTGTGCCTCACCGGTGGAGGTAAATGGTGCACTGATGTCTCTTCCTTTTCCATTTGTTCCAGGATGAAAATGCGGCGGCACAGGGTGTTCTTGCTGTGCACGGTGGGCCTGTGTGTCATCTCCTTCCTCCACTACTACAAGGCCCTCCATTACGTCTCCCTGCTGCGGGAGCTCTCGGCTCCATACCCCAACATCAAGTCCTTCATCATGGTGACCGGCTTCTTCTGGAGGGAGAAGGGTATGGCCACCACCCCGCTCAGCCCAGCTTCTCCTGAAGAGGCCCCCCCTCTACCCGGTCTCCGGCAGTCAGATGCCAAAGCTAGAGGCGTGCCGGGTCTCGGGGGAGGAGGCGGAGGGGAAGGATTTGGCCCAGGGATCCCAGAGGCCATAGCTGGAGGTGGAGATGAGGAGATGAGGCAACGAGAGGAGCCAGCACCACCACATCCCTGGGAGAAACCAAAGGAAAACCAGCTGGGAGACGCAGCAAATGAGGTAAGATGGGTAAACCCGAACGCAACAGCGCGGTGTCGAACGCCTCACAATTTACACCTTCAGACAAATTTATGTTTATGTATTTCAAGCTTTCAGCTCAAACTCCCACACAGATCC